AAGTTATACTTGAAATTAATACTGGGTTAATATGAAGCAAATAAGCAAGCAAGGATTAGTATTGGARTTTGGGGGAGGTTGTTTATGTGTCATATGTACATGCTAAAAAACTGCAAGAGGAATTCTATAACAGTTTCAGAACTAGACTGTAAAGTTACATATCTGAATCATTACTTGAGAATTTAAAAGCAGTATTTTTATTTTAAAAATACAGAACATCCAGAATATTTGTTCTTTACATTGGTTTTAAATTCCTCAACGGTCTACATTTAATATCCAATTGTGGGTTGCAAGTTTAACTTCATGTTATTATTTTAAGTGGTGCAGTTATAATAGCAAAATTGTTTGGTTCTGGCTCCAAATTTTGAAGAAGTTTCTTTGTATTCATGGTGTTCATTTATTGTGACTGCTCAGTGATAATTTCATTGCTTAAAAAATATTGGTATTATATCATTACTAATTTCTCAAGTATTTATTTTCATTTACTGGCATAAATATCAAGGATATGTTTCTTTTTCTTCAGGTCTCCAAGGACCTTAAATATTGGGTGATGGTCCTTATTATTTATACTCAGCCTTCTAAGGATACTCTAGATATAGACACTGTTCTGCAAATTATAGATCTCAAATTATTAATACATTGAACTGTCCAGCATTTACATTTTAGAGTACTTATCCATGCCTGCAAAAGGCTTGGGAATGACTCATGCCTTCTCTAGACCTTCTTTCTGCTGCACCACTCTGTCAGGAACATCACAATTTTGCCTTGTAGATGTTTAAAGTAAGAAGATATCAGGAATCCAGGCTTCAGTGTGCTGAAAGTCGTGGTCATGCTAATAATTCCTCTCTTTTATATCTAAATTGGATTATATGGATGCTGATGATTTAATAACCACTGAATTTGAACAGTGCTTGCTGGAATAGAGCACAAATGCAGAGTAGAGAGGAGAAAAAAAGTGTTTCAGTGCTCAAGGCCACATATTCTCTACCATGAAAGTGCAGTGGGAAGTGGGTAGGTAGTTTGCTCTGTTTTCTCCTAAATATAAAACTTAAAAAAAAATGCTTTTATATATATAATAATTTTGGCTTTAATATTTTAGAATTTGTATTTTTACGTTTATTTCCTGCCTTACTGAGTGATAAAGGTTATGCCAATAGTTCCTTGTTCTCCTTATTCCAGTTTGGATTGAAATGGTTCTATTTTGTGCCACCTGCTTCAATTTTGACTCGTGTTTTTTGGTGGTATGAGATGTTGTCAGAAGACTTTTAGAACYGTGGCAAAATATTCTGGTCAGAGAGATTTCTATGGTCACTTAGTGATTCTGTAAGAGAGAGAAAATACAGAATTTGGAACTAATGAGAAACAAATTTAGCATTGTTTTAGAAGAATATTTAATTAGAACAATCAAGATACATATTAAAATGTCCTTCATGTTGSGAGGGCAAGTTTGTAAGGATATATACCCAACAGAAATGTATTATTCCCTAATACTTTATAAATACAAAAAGCACTCTATCCTTTACTACTCTGTTGAAGACAGATTCTATASTCTTTATTTTAKTTTTTTAATTTTATTTTTAATGYTCTCCTTACAATTTTRCGCACCCTTAGGACTTTGACTAAATGTTCTGAAATGGGCACTAAAATGTTCTAAAGGTGATTGCCAGCAKACATGGATGCCATCAGTTCTTACATATTGACTGAATCGTTTATTCAGAGAAGACCACTGATTTATTTTTTATTATCACCCTCTTATCAAATACCTCTGAGTGCAGAATGCTACTGACCCTAAGAAAGAAAAGACTCAAAGACATCCCAAAGAGTTSAGTCTTTGGTCCAGTTTCTAAGGTCTCAGTAGAAATGTTTCAAGCTTTATACATGAGCTCTGCATCAGACACCTGAGCCCTAACTGAGCAAAACACTTCTTTTGCTGATTTGAGCTCATCTTAAGAGTAAATTCATGGGTCTTTCTTGACTGAAGTGCTATCATCAATGGAAAGACTTCATTTGCTCTTAATTCCTAGTAAAATAGTTTTTGCTTCTTCCTTCTGCTAAGTAAAATATTAAATAATACCGTGATCTTTACATGTTAATTTCTGTATATCTATTAGCACATACCCTTCCTTTTTTTGCTGAAAGTCTCCTCATCTTTGTTACTACTGCTAATGGAAGTGATAAAATATCTAAATAGTTTATTCTGAATTTGTAGCAAAAATATTTTTCTTATTATTTCAAGCCATAAGAAATATTGCTTCACAAATATGTTATTTAATTGTTCTTTGCTGCACACAATTCCTAATTTACAGTATCCTATTAAAAGTTTCTAATTAATTTATTGTCACTGGTAGTAGGACCTTGAAATGGCTGAAGGTTATGGGAAATAATAAATTTAAAGTTGCTTATGTGATTCTGCCTACTCTTGCACCATTAGGTGGYAATTTGTGGCTTAGGTTTAGGTTTTATTGTAAATCATGGCATTTTTTATTCTGAAAATTGAATTAAATCTTGTAAATAATTCATTAGGGTGCATTTTTCAAACATTTCATTATAAAAATTTTTTGAAATGGCTACTAGCACACAGATGTAGAGTGGCATAATTTACATGAGTAGGATGAACAAATGCAGGGGTTTCTCCTGTTTTGGAAAAAAAATAATGTTCTTGGACTGGATCAGCCAAAYTTCCTGGTACCTGACTATAACTGCCTCACTGTTTGGGGATTTTATCCTCACCAGGTCGAGTGAGTTCTAGCACATGGGGATTTGGGAAGGACATTGAGGTTTAGATCCATTTCACAAACATTTTTGGTCTGTGTATAAAAGGTTAAGGAAATGGAGGATGCATTTTTTTCATATGAATGAATTTGTCTCAGTGTCAGGGCTGACCTGGACATTTTTAATCAGTGGCATGCRCAGATAATACACTTCTGAGTCTAATTTATTAATGCTTTTGTCATGGTATGAATAGAGGAGTTAATCTGACTATGTCTTGGAAGTTTTGGAAAGTGAGTGACTAAATGAATGAGTAC